ACCCCATGCCTGAGCGCAAAACCAGCTTGTTGTGCGCTCTCATGAGTCCAGAGCAGATCAGTGAGCTTCGCGAACGTTCGTGCTTGCAGTGTGGTTGTTGTTGTTGTTGTTGTTGTTGCCTGGAGTCTGCTGTGATAGACCATGTCACCGAAACTTGCATAGCCTTGCATAGCCTAGCTAATAGATAGAAGAGGGGGTCGTTGTTGTTACAACTGCTACTTCAATTGAACCGGACACCTAAAGCCGGGCTCCTGTTTTGCTATCACTTGCCAGAGCATTCTACAATGCTCTACTTACCCGCGCTTCCAGTATGCTCATCACTGTCATCGCTGTGACCCTACCAGCACCATCACTTCATTAGCATCGCGAATGAGCTATCGTGGTGAACCTTTGGCATCATCATTATCATTGTCATCATCATCGTCATCATCATCATCATCATCATCATCATCATCATGATCATGAGCACATCACATAACTGGCACTGGCACCGGCTTCATCACCGCCAGCCTAACCACCATCATTAAAATCCCGAGATGCGGAATTGGACTCAGGAGGCCCTCGATTATCTTCGCGAGGAGATCAAGCTGGGACCTTGCTGCTTCCAACGAATGACGGCAGAACCACTGCGTGGCTTTGAGGGCAACTACTGCGGATGCTGAAGCCAGAATCAACAAGGTGCTTGGTCATAGCAGCACGACGTTGTATCAACATCCACCGAAGAACTTGCCAGATGCCTGTATATGTAGCAGAAACAAGTGCTTCCGGCTAAGCCTTTGGATCCTGGAGGCCGCCGAGTCCGTCACAACACTGAAGGACATGATCCAGGCTAAGCAGGCTTTCCGCTCAGGAATTGCGAAGACTGTGCAATGCTACTGCTGCGATATCTCCTGCAGCGGACATGAGCTGCAGGTGGAGTTGATCCAGAGGAGAAAGGAGGTTCTGGTCTAAGGATGCTTGCCGATGCAGTTCAGAGACATCGAGTGCGTGTCGAGGTGTCTCGCCTGTATCACGATGCAGAATCTGTGGAGGTTTGGGACGAGTCTGCATGTGAATGTGCTTGAGAAGATGTGACACCCATTACTTGCCAGCTGGAAAATCAGAAGCTTCAAGTCCAGCTTACCAGAGCGTCTCTGCATGTGGGAGGCAAGCCTGTTGCAATGCTTGTCGAGTTGGCTGAGCATTCAACTGGCACCTAGCAGATTTCCGCTCACATGCGAGGTCAGAGCCAACATGACGGCGAAGAGGCCCCCGTCCGAGCGCGGTGTATCAGCAGAGATGAAGAGAAGTGAAGAAGAGAGCTCTGGTCGCAGCTCCCCGAGGCCGAGCAGCTTCGACGTGAGGCGGAGGACTTCCACACACAGAAAGAGGCCAACACTCTGGCAGCCAATGTCGCGAGCCCGCGAGCCTTTCACATCGCCAGCTCGGAGAAGTGTTTCTGCAAACTCCTTGGATCTGAGCTTCCGAGATCTCGGAACCAACCTGAGGGAAGTTACAGAAATTGTTATCGACATCTTGCTAGCATTTCAGTCGCCGACCTAGGTCTGTGCCTAATGCGAGAACCCAGCACAAGCCATGGGCCAGAGCAGTATGTTTCTCTGGCAGCCGACACGCACGGACCGCCTGGCAGCCCTAGCGCCCACGGTCTTCAGCGCTGGCTTGCCCCAGCCAGCCTTCTTCTGTCGTCCCTGTTCTTCCAGAACGCTGGCTTGTATTCTGCAACCTGTGAGTACGTGAGATGGACGGACGAGACCTTGGGTAAAATGGCAGGAGAGGAGAAGGCCCCTGGGATGGTTCCGATCGAGGCAGAGGCTTTGGAAGATCCCGTGCACCGACTCCTGAAAGCCTCCAGGCTTGCGAATTCACTCGAAGGCTTGAGCTGGTCTCCTGAGATTTGGGTGGATCTCATGGCGGATTGCGTTATCATTTTTCTGCTGTGCTGGCTGGTTCGGAAGAACGATCTCCAGACATGGACGCATTTGGCGCTTTCCGCATCTCTGCTAGCTGTCTTGAAGGGGTTCCTGGCTTGGTCCACTGTACTGCCAAATGCAGCTGGCTGGGGAGCATGCAAGGAATCTCTTGGCTTGGATGGCTTGATGTACTTTAGGAGCCAGAACACAGGAAGCCTCGGCCTGATGGATTCTCTGATAGATATCTCTTTGCTTACAATCCAGAGTTTGTGGTTGCTGGGCCGTGCCGCTCCACAGCAGATTTGCTCCGACACCATGTTCTGCTGCTCCACAAGCTCACTGACCCTTGTTTGTTTGTGTGCTTACGAGACAGTTGCACGCAGCGTCGACGAGTTGAGACCCGAGCGACGTGCAACCGTCATGGGCTTGTTTGGACTCATCCTGTGTGCAATCGTTCTCGCAGACATCACCCTGGCCATCGGGAGTAAACTTCACTACAGCCTTGACGTGATAGCGGCGGTGCCGTTGAGCTTTCTGGTCTATGGCAACCCTGCTTTGGCCCTGATGGCCCAGGACTGGGCGGACCCAGTAGCCGTTGAGGTCAAGAAAGACCCAACCGGGGCACCTAGATTTCCACCTGACCTTGGATTTGTTTCAGTGGCGCCGTGTTGCTTGCCGTTCGCTGACGTTGCTGGAACGTACTATCTGCAAGATAGAGACTGGGACTTCAGCCCATACAGCTGGACGGCGGAGCGACAGCGCCAGCACTATCGGCGGAAGTCTGAGATTCAGGCCATGCTGGAGGCCATTTCGGATGTGCGTTTTCTTGTGTTTGAGCCTTACATGACGGGGTGTATTCGGACTTCTCCTTGAGGCCACCAGGCGGCGCTGCGAGGATCTGACACTTCTCTTGCAAAGTGGCAAGCGAGCGGCTGAGCACGCACTGGAAGAGAGGCGGAAGGAGATCGCTCGCCAGGGCACATCTTCGATACACAATCTGAGAACGGAGTGGGCTGAAAGGATTTGGCCTTTGGCCGCTCTTCACACATTTCACACTTCATGCTTGCATGTTGGGGTATTCGGGGTCTGAAGCTTGAGAGCGCCATGCAGTTTGACGGTTTGAGAAGCAGGAGGTTGACCGTCGCGTGGCTGAAGCGCGCAGCATACAGGACTGCTAGCCGGTTGCAGGTCTGTTTGCGCGGGAGAGGGCCGGCGAAGGGAGTAATGGACCGTAATGGACTTCTCCCAGGAGAGAGAGCTGGCGGATGCCAAATCAGCGCTTGAGGCCGATCGCGAGGCTACGGACTGTCCGAATGCTCAAGCCTAGCTGGCCTAGCTTCCTGAGCTTCAGGTTCTCGCTGCCCTCAAGTCAAAGCTGGCCTCTACGTCTGCGCCCCATGAGTGAGGAGGAGGACTAGGGCGCCTGGCCCGCGCCAGGATTTGACCACTGCCCTTCTCAATCGCTTCCAGAGTTGCCACAAAACGAGTGGATGCGTGGCGTGTCGCACCACCACTTGCTCGACGCAGAGCCAGTGTGCGCGCACGAGCGCATATGTGCTGGGCGCGCGTGGCATGCAAGTAGATTCTGCTTTGCGAATCCAGTGGCTCTGTGTCCAAGTTACACGGCATTTTCCGTGCCTCTGCGCAGGCCCTGCTTCTGATTTTACGAGACTTCTACGGCGCCATGGGAGAGGACCCGGTTCCATGGCCAGGTTTTTTTGGGGTCTGTTGCAGAGAGACGGGCGCATGTCATGGCATCATGTGGCCATGTGCAAAAGATGAGGCACTCAAGACCTGACTCACCGCATGTCGGTTCAATAAAGGTTCACTTAGACATCACCTAATCTAGTATCTATTTGCCTCAGCAGTACAACGAAGCGACTCGTACTCTGTCAGCTCTTGAGCTCGCGGGCATGAGCCCGCAGTTCCACCACAGCCTGCGATCGAGATGGACTGCCAGCTCGTGTTTGAAGTGGCAGTGGCAGTTGGTGCCGAGTAAAAGTTCTGCAAGCTGTGCCCAGCCTTGGAACAATTTTGGGATGTTCGAACTTCGCGGCCCCGATGCTTGGCGAGCCACAATGCCTCGCTCCGGCTTGTCATGGAGACAGACTTCGTTTTCAGAAGGGTATGCCGTTGAGTGGTTATCCATAAGATATGCCCCGCAGAACGGTGGCCCGCCTGGGAGAAGTCCTCCGGCTTCACAAGCCATGCTCCTGCCCTTCTCTGAACGGCCCCAGGCTGTTGAATGAACGGTGTTGCGAGGTTTGGGGCGGGGGGAGGTTCCAGGTTGGTACGGAGATGAACTTGACACGAAGTTTGCAGCATCGTAAGGAGCCGCCCACACTGTCGTTCTGCCCTTGGCTGTTGGCTGTGCAGCCTGCGAAGAAGCAGAGGTTTCAAGCCAAGTTTCCCCAGGGCGATTGTCAGCAAACACCAGCTGCGGCCTGCTCCTCAGCATTCCGGGTTTACTTTAATCGGCAAGGTGCCATGTCCTTATCAGAGGCCGGGGTGCTGTAGGCCCGGTGCTCTCTTGCGCGGGCTGTTGTTCAGGACCAAACAGCTTGAGCCCGACGGCGACAAGGCTGACTCCGCAGTGTTGCCAGGACATGGGTACACAGTCTTGAGGCGGTTTCTATAGGCAGCGAAGCCTCGCACGACTTGCCGCGGCCGGTTCAGCTCAGGTCGGGCTAGGAAGCAGCTCATGGCCATCCGCACACCTCTGTAGCACAGATGGAAGCACTTGAGTCACGTGAAGCATCGTGAAATCGTGAACGGGAGCCTCAAATCTGCCGGTAGCTGTGCTTTGAAGGCTGATGTCGCTGTCCCGAAGGTTCCATGATTCGGCATCGGTTTTCAGATCATCGGCTGGATTGCTTGGATGCAATACGGTGCAAGAACCTGTGAGCATTGGTGGGATAAGTGAGGTGGACATCGTAGGTCGACATCGTTGACGGAGTATCCAGTGCCGTGGTCAAAGGCATACGGGGTGATGCGTTGTGCTGACCAGGATCGGTGTTCAATGCCGACGGCGAGGGGCTGTGCTCCTGGCTGCCGCTCTGTGTCCACGCCTCGACACGTCTCGGCTCGCATCATGGAGCTGATCCAGGGGGGGATCCCGTGACCTGCAGGCTTTGAAGCAGTGCGCCGGCTCGCTTTCAGCGTGCCCCTCGGTTCAGGCCCGGCGGCAACTCGCGAGACATGTGCTGAGCCGGGCAGCAATCCGTGAGCAGGTCCTGCAGCCTTGGAGCAAGGTTCCATAGGACCGTCCCCAGCCTATGGCAGTTCCTGTGTCCTCTCTGCAGTCTCAGAGATTTGACAGGACAGACTGCTTCAGCACATCTCTTGCCACGGCAGCAGCGCCCTTGGCCGTCGTGCTTTGTCTTTGGAGGTGCCAGATGACGCGAGCGAGTGTAAACCTTGGCTGAGGCCCCAGGTCCGATCTGCTGCACTTCCAGAGGTGACGACGGCACCCTCCAATGTTCTCTGGGTATCCACGTCAGAGGCTTGTCTTGTCGTTCCCGGAGGCTCTCTCAAGTGTGCAGGACCTCATCCAGCAGGCGGCTTGTTCAGTGTTGTTTGGTGTCGGGCAGGTTCTAAGCTTAGAGTAGTCGATGGTCCTGGATCGCCATGAGGCCTGCTTTTTCTGCCTCGGCTTATGCTTGCCTGCTGTACTTCGCCGTGTGCGAACCATTGCAAAGCTGACCTGAACCACTGCAGTGCTGAAGCAGATGCATCCTGAGATCGACCGAGCAGACAGGTCCCGGACCAAGTCGCCGCGTGTGAGTCTCAGCACGAAGCAAGCAGAGTCTTTGCATGCTTTCCGCACAGTGTTCTGGCTCAGACTTGCCACCCAGACCCACAACCCCCAAACCCCCCGTCCAGCGTGTCAGCAGGCTCGGTCCTGCCGGGATCTTCTACTTCTTTGGCATTTATGTGGTAGCGGCATCCTCGGCCTCGCAAGTGACATTGGCTGTCTGACATCTGTCAAGTCTTGGCACTTCAAGGCAGAATGTCTGGCGTTGCCAGCCGCTCCCCTCACACTGTCTTCTGGATACCTTTTTGGTGCGACTCTTAGCAGAGGTGCTGATGTAACATGCTGCTAACGTTTGGCCAAGATTCAGGTTTGCCCGTGGGTGCGGTAACATCTGTTCTGGCAGGGACTGGCTGCTTGCTTTACGACAGCATGAGGGCATGGAGTTCCACTCAAGTTGCGATGGAAGCATGCTTTGCAGGACGACGGCAGCAGCGATTGGATTTTTGCTATCGCGGACCTTCCTCAGGCACATGCGAGACGGGTTGCACGACTCAGCTTGCGTTTCAAGGGTTGTCCCGTCCACAGCAGGCCCCAGATTCAGCAAATTGCGGAGGAGAACGAGACTTTCCGAGACATCAACAAGGCATCTGCCGGAAAGTTTGACTTGAAGTCGAATCTGTAGAAGCACTTCGGCAGAACTGCCTTTTTTCTGAGGCAGTAGAGCCGGCCTCCAAGTCACTTGCGACACTTCATTTTGCGCGTGTCATGAGCGCACTGACCAGCCGTGTCTGTAGCATTTCCTGCCGAAGTTAAAGGCAGTGAGTGTAATTGCTCCCTGGGTGTAGGAGTACTTAGTGATGCTAGAGTCACTAGCGACTCGGCGAGTCCATGCATTCTCCATGTATCCCCACGTCCTTCTTGCAGCCTGAGCGAAGACGGCCTTTGCCCACAGCCCGCGTCTATCTGGGTGGAGCTAACAAGGCATGCACCCTAGTAGTTTTCGTTTACGTGACCGGCCTTACTTGAGAAATGGGCAGCCATGGCGGGCTACATGCCGCAAGTTATGTTTGCCGTGGTGTCGCCTTCTGTACTGGTGCCGCCCATTGCAGCTCCCGTTGGCATCGACATTGCCACAGAGGCAGTGCCCCGAAACCTCATCCGTCCTTTAAGCCTGGAAGTCCGCTGTCACGTCGGTAAGTCGATAGGCTTCATGTTTTGAGCTAGGCCTCGAGAAGGGTGAAAGTTGCCGGCTGTAACTCTTTGGGCAGGGTGTTGGCTCAACGATGAGACCGGACAAGCTGGGGACAGGGTAGAATAAGCTGGCGAGTTTGTTGTAGCGCCATTAGGTTCCGTGATGTTCCGTGCGACATCTCTGCAAGATAGCAGAGCACCGTCTTGCGCGCCGTGACACGGCAAGATACTTGGAATGCTGGTGATCATTGAATAGGCTCGGACGGGCCCAGTTTGGTCTGTTTGGTATACAAAGATTTGACTCCTTGATCTCTCGTCCTATCCGAGGCGGGGTTTACCAGCATGGACCGTTGGGTTTGAGGAGACTTCGGGGCACTGGGGCTCGCTGCTGTCCGAGCAAGTAGAGTGGAGTCAGAAGTGGGTTCGGGCTTCTGGACCGGTTGTAGATCAGACCGAGACGGGCACTGAAACAAGTTGCCGGAGGAGTGTAGCTGTCGAGTACGCTACACGGCACCATCGTGCAGCCCGTGTGCTGTGCCTTTGCCGCTTGACCCGCGGAGGTGCAGCGCATGGTGGAATGCGAGGGCTTCAAGCCCCTGCGCTTGCCAGTGAAGTCCCCGGCACGTCCGACGCAGTCCAGGAAGCAGCAAACTTCTGTTGGTTGCGCTGTCGTGGTTGCGGCTGAGGACGCAGAGTCGAGGCTCAGCCCCGCTTCTTCGAAGTATCTCATCGATAACTGCCTGCGGCTCGAGCAGGCGCCCAGCTCTGTTTGGGCCATCGAGATCCGATCCGATCCTTTTTGCTTCAGGTGTTGAAGCTCCATCCCAGCCTCATAAGCTTGTGGAGCCAGGACGAGTGACGGTCCGAAGCATCCGGTGTAGCGACGTCACTCACTCGGCACAGGACGATGGCGTTCTCATGGTTTCGGTGCCGTCTTCGCCATGGCTTGGGGCAAAGCCCCAACCACCATCTGAGCATGGACCCACTGGCCCCAAACAGAAGGAGAACCGAGACCAGGCCAGATCCGCTCCTGACGGCCAGAGAGGGACAGCAGGGAGAGAATCGTAGCTCTTTAGGTGCTGACGGGCATCCTCCGGGGCAAGGCAGAGGATTGAAAGGTTTTTGAAGTTTGAGGCTTAGCGGCTTCGCATGTCCCTTCTTCCAGGCCCTGGACATCATAGAGGATCTCACCAACATCCCGGACTTGCAAGAAAGCTTGCGTCACGGACTCAGTCTGGAGAAGAGGATCGATATGACAGGGCAGCTCCGTGCTCCCCCAGGTGATGTTGCCGCAATCCTGTTGACATCCCCAGACAGGCCGGGGCGGGGGCGCAAGGGCGCAATTGTGAGCAGGCTGCTGCAGCCTCTTTTGCCAGGACGATGCTCGTCTCAAGTCTGGGCAACAGAATATCCACAAGAACAAGGTGCCGATGGAGAAGACGCTGAAAAAACCCCACTTCAGGGGCTGAACGTTTGCGTGGAGTTCAGAAGCGCTTGCGAGGAATTTCCTGCGATGTGCAAAGCTTCGCACTGCTCAGCTGCTTCGATGCTTTTCAGATGATTTCCTTCTGGAGGAGATCGGGATGTTTTCATCAGATGGACGATAGCTCACGCTGGTAACATGCTGGTGCAAGGCGTTTGTGGCGGAGGCGATACAAATGCTATACTAGGAAAGGTGAGACGGAAGCTCAAGAGTGCATGTTGTAGGGTTTGGTACGGGTGTGATGGGAACCAGAGGTGTTCTTCATGGCCTGTGCGTGAAAGTCTGCGTTGCCGTGCAGATATGTGAATTCGGCGGAGCCAGAGATTCATCCAACGAACTGCTTTCAGTTTGTTTAGTGGCCCTCCTTTCCAGTTCATTCGTGGGGCCAAAGAATGTTCTTGTCACAGTCTCTCGATGGCGTGCTTCCCAACATGTGCCCGGCGTATGAGATCGGAGACCTAATGCACATGTCCGCGTTGTTATTGAGAGCGCTTTCCTGCAGCCTTCGAGAACCGGCATGTTTTCAAGCATTGGCAGGAGAAAGGGGCGGGCACAACTGTGACTTATGCAAAGGCTCTCGCCCCGGCTCTTGCATAAAGTTCAGACAAAGCGCTGCAACAGAAGTCGTGCCCGGACATCTGCATAGCCTACTTGAGTCGCACCAAGCGGCACCGACTGCCCTTCGCAAGGCCGCACCTAAGCAGTACTATGTGACTCCACAGCAGCATCAGAGGACAGCCAGAGCTCATATTGCGGAAGTAGCTTAGGTTGGCATGGTTAGGAGCGTAGCTGTTCGTGCACTGGTGCATCTAGGATCGATTCAGCCAGACATGCAAGACTCCTGAAGCTGGCGACAGACGTTACCATGGACTTCAGGCCAGCAAAAAACTGGGAGCTGCGAACATACCAGTCGTCAAACGTTTCTGGTTGCATAGAGGCAAGCCAGAGAAATGTCTGCTGGCGACCTAATCGAGAAGCTTTGCACCTCGTCACAACAGGAAACTTGGCGCCTGTGTCAATCAGAGCTACTGTCACATTTGCGGAAATCTGCAAAGCATTGTGTACGCGCATCGTCTTGCATACCAGGCAAAGAAGGCACCAATGGCATGCTGCTGATCGACTGTCGCACTGCCACTTGGAAGTCACTAGTTCCAAGAGTTGGAGAGCTTTTCACGTCCGGTCGTTCTGTTGTGGTGAGATCCTATCAGAAGGAGCAGCTAAAGCTAGGGCCTGACTCAGGAGGCGCCATGTGCAGGTGTAGCTGTCAGTCGCAATGGGCTTCTCTGTTCGAGATTTTTGAAGTTGGTTGGTGAGCAGAAAGGCATGGAAGGGTTGATGTGATCTGAAAACGTTTTGTCCCCTCTTGAACCGAAAAGTCCTTGCATGGCCTCTGTTGCAGACTTGCCAGGAATCCGAACAAGTGATCAGTGCTTTGCCTGGGGCAGTGCAGCTTCCCGGAAGCATTGGAGTAGGCCCAGAGTCAGGCACTCACGGGACGACTTGCACTGCCAGGCTGTACCATGTCACTGCCGAGCACTTGCAACAGGCAGTTGGCCTTCTGAACTCTTACAGGAAGCATCCACAAGCGACTTTCGGTCTAAATGTGACAGTGTCAAGCAAAGCTTGTACAATCTTGTATACATTGTATACCTTGCTTCCACCCCCAGACGGAAGTTGCGCTGTTGCCAGGCTGCCTTCGTCGTCGCGCACCTTTGCTGAATCGCGTTTTGCCTGATGCGGCACTCATGAAATGCATGGAGCGAACCCGGCCACAAAGTATCAATGAGGTACTGCTGCATTGGTTGCCGATCAGCCGAATGGTGCCAGGCAGCTGTGCAGTTGTAGCCTGCGGATGTACAAAATGGAATCCATTGTCCTGCTTCATGGGAAGGAGCTTTCGAGTTCTGCAGTGGCGCACAAGCTGCACTTCCTGAAGGGTGGAATCGCAGCCTGGCTTCATGAGGCTGGAGACTGCCTGCCGGTGTGTTCTTTGGCACCTTCTGTAGCCACGTATGCAACCACGCTTGATACAACTCGCCGCACTGCCAAACTTGTCTTTACTGGCTCGGATGCACTGGCTTAGATTGCGTGTGGGAAAGTTATGTCGGGCGGCCTACAGACATCCGAGATCCAGTGTAGGAGAGGAAATGTCACGATCGTGCCCTGGCTCGGGTAAATGAGTCCACGCGGAGGAGGGGGGCGGGGATACAGTGGCGAGAGGATTTCGAGGACAAACAGAGGGTCCCTGTTGGAACCTCTGACCGCGTCGGCCAGGGCCGAGACGAATTCGCTCGCAATGCATCAGCCTTAAACCCTAAATCGTCTAGGTGATCTCCACCGATGTCGAGACCGCACTGGGTTGTGCTGAGGTCTTTTAGTCTCACAGGCTTCGAGGGTCCGGCCCGAAACGCATTCATTCGGAAGCTAATGCTGGGATGTAAACACATGGATGTGCCACCTTTCTCTAGCTATTTCCAAAATGAGCCACCACTCCTGGATTTCTGCACGTAAGCCGTCACTACCATCACCTCGTTCAACACAGCATGTTTATAAGCTGAAGCGCCTTGTGCAGGGAGGCCAGCTCATCCAGCCCAGTACAGGCGTAAGCCTAAGTCGCTGTCGCGAAAAGAAGTTCGTCTTTTAGACAGCTGGCTGCTGGGAGCGCTGTTCCAGGAATGCCCTGCCGCCTGGTGCACTGCTGGACCTTCGAACTGGTTCCCTTCTTCCCAACCCGAGGTTCGACGTGTAGCTTCCAATTAGAGGCAACGCACCACTTTTCAAGCATCTTCTTCGTGCAGGTTGTGAAGTGCACCGTCCGGAGTTGGGCGTCACTGCACCGTGGGGGACTCACTGCTGGAGCCGCCGGGGATACTGCCAAAAACTTTCTGACTGATGTTGAGTCTCAGCACGAATCCTTAGTGCTCTGTGCTGGTGCCTTCCGTTTGAGCCTAGCTTTCGAGATGTAGCAAGTTGTGAAAGTGCAGTGTGTGATGTTGCTTGTGGTTCTGAGCACTCAGATTCCGCACCCTCACTCCCCCCTACTCTCACTCCCACTCTCAACTGCCAACTTCGCCCAAACTACTGAAGAAATTGACACATACCCAAGGTCCGAGATTGAAAGCTCGCCCCAGCGCAGCCTCACGCGGGCCTCGAGGGCACGGCACGGGCCCAAGACGATTCCAAACGAGCGCTCCTTTCCGATACGACGTGGCTTTGCTGTTCGGAGGTTGGATCGACTGCGAAACCTTGCATGGGAGGCGCACGGGCCACTCGCGCAAAACCGAATGCTGACTGTGATGTTCTCACAGGTGCGCCTGAGGTACTGTCCGTCGGTGCTGTGCCTTGATGCAGAGGCTCCAACCGGGCCTTAGGGCTCTTAATGCTTTCAGTCTGGACGTCGTTGCATGTCTTTGCAGGAAGTTCAGCGGCTAGTCGCTGCACCTGTATCTCGCCCAGAATGGCTGTGGAAGTAGCGCCAAACTTGAGTGGAGTCACACCTGCGAACCGTTCCACATGCCAGAATGCTGGCTATATCTTCGTGGATGTGCGCACACCTGAAGAGCGCCAGGCATGAATTTAGTGGGACTGGTTGGAGTGCTGCAGGCGCTACGTGAGGTTGCGAGGGCCGCTTAGATCAACGGAAACAGGAACTGTTAAAACCTAAAACGAGGGCGTCTCCAAAATATGCCTTCAGTGCCGAAGGCTTTGTGCCAACTGACTAAACGACGTTCGTGGAGGTGTCGACCATTTCTTCTCCCACTTGCCCAACCATCACGAAGGCCGATGACACTGTTCTGGGCGTGACTTCTCGCTTGTGCTACGGTCATCAGGAGGAGTTCCTTCTGAAGATGGTCGCAGCCCAATGACTTTGGCTCCTTGGAGCGTTGCAACGCGTTGCAATGCCACTGCAAGTCTCCAGGCCGGCAATCTACCCAACCTCCCCTACACATTCCTCGTCTTTTGCACGGTGGGTGGCCGATCTGGCAGGCTCGCCGCCGGGATACTTGCTTCGGCACCGTCTGTAGGCAAGTCAGTGCAGGTTCTGCCAAGACCTGCTGACAGAGCCCGAAAAGATCGGCCTGCGCTGCAAGGCCGCACGATGGAAACTTCATGTCTGCTTGCGTCTGGCGTCGGCTGGGCATAGATCCACTTGGAGCCACTTCCTGCACAGCTTGAACACAGACACAAACGAAATGAGTTTTCGAGCACGTAGCAGTGATGGAGGAGGGGGGGCTATGGAGAGATGTGAGGAGGTTGATGGGACAGGATTCGGGTGCTCGCGTGCTGGCGGTGTGGAGGGGACGGTATGGAAGGAGGTGGGCTGAAACGCACCACGAGCCTGTGCTGCATTGCAATGGTGTTGATTCTCATATTTTCATGTTATCTGCTGGCAGGTGAACAGCTCCCAACTAAAGAGCATCCTCGGAGGCTGGGCTGCTGTCCGAAGCTCTGCGAAACACAGGGCATGTGCTTTTGTGGGCCAGTGAGGCATCGCCGGCTGGGTTCATGTCGGTGGTGGCTTGGTAGATCCCTTCGGCAACCCGACGTCGAAGGTCAGTCCCTGGTGCCAGGCATGCGTGCGCAATCTGTGCGCACTTGGGAGCGAACATAAAAGGAGGGAGGGAGTGCCAGTGCAGTCCGGCACTGATTGGAGGGCGAGAGCTGGTTAGTCTCTCCAACCACTATGACGTTGATCTGCCGTGGTTTCAATCTGTCAGCAAAACGAGCAAAGCATCCGTACGCGATGCTGGCACGACATTGGCCCTTGCAACGAGGCCCTTGCTCAGCAAAGCGGTTGTTGTGCACGTGTGTGCAGGCATTCATGGACATCTTCCCGGTGTCCGGCGGGGACTCTCTGTGAAGCTAGAGTCCGCGGTAATTTATCCGCAGCACGTGCGTGGGTTGCGCTTGCGTGCTCCTGAGGCGCAGAACTCGTACTCGATGAGCTGCAAGTTGTTCCGCAAGATGCACGTGTGCTGCGCTGAGCCTGGGAAGACACACTCGGGCCTCGTGAGCTGCACACGCTTTACGCGCAGTACTGCTTGAGCTCCTAGGCATTCATCGACTGCAAATCATGTGCTGAGATGGCCGCTGAAGTCGTGGGCTCAGAACATGTTGCATTCAGACGGACGCCAGCCGGACCAATGAAAGGTGTCGGCACCGGGTAGGATACTTCGCACCTGCCAGGCCTGGATGCTTTCCATGTGCCTAGAGTGCTGTACAGCTACACCACAGATGGTCAAAGCTGTGCGTTTTTCCTGCCGCTGCCTTCAGGCTTTGGCTCCAGAGGTGTGCACATTTGCCAGTGTGCTGTGATGCTGCTGGCTCAATGTCAGATGCCTTTACATTTATGACGCTCGACTGTAGGTCTTGGCGGACACGCTGTACCGAGCAGCTGAGACGTGCCCTTCATGTATCCGATGACTCGTTCATTTTGAATCTCTCTCTCTCTGTGTTGCTCGTATCTTGCAAGTTGCAAGCACCAACCGTGCAGCCCAGGTGCGCTCCTTATGATGACTGAGGCACGAACCAGCTCTGGGCCCATGGGCTTTGCATTCCCCATCTTTCTGTGGCTCCATTGAATGGATCCGCGACTTTTTAACTGGTCTGTCAGAACGGGCATAGCTATTGACTACTTTGCGTTTTCTTCAAGGCAAGCTCTGGCAAGCTTGGTCGAATGGCCGTTCTGCAGCCAGCATGAAAGGCCTGCAGCGCTGAACAGACAAGAACAACTGAAATCGCAGACTTAATTGGAGCGCGGTTGCACCTGTCAGCAGCAGTGATGTTAGCTGTAGCAGACTCCAGCAGGTGTATGTTGCAACCGGCTGCTCTTATTGAAAAAGGGGGTGCCTGATACATACTCAGTGCAGGTGGCTCAACGGAACAGTGCTTGAAGCTGACGCGAAGGGTTTGCGACGTTTACTAATTGAAGACGAGCTGCATGGGAAAGATGTGGCAAGTCAACCGAATCTCAGGCGAGAAGGCTTCAAAATCATTCTACTGTTGCGCCTCGGCAGCAGTTGCTCACAGCTACTTGGGGCCGCTGGCACAAGCGCAGCTCTTGTTTGAACAGCGGCAGGCGCTTGTCGCCGCTGCTCCCTTTCGCTCTGTCCAACTATGCCTGGAGCCTGTCATGCCCGTCTTGTGGCAAAGCCAAACACGGCTGTAAGCACCCACTTCCCGGTGGTCTAACAGGTCTACGGTCTGAGCAAAGTCGGTTTCGGAGACTTCATCTTGGCAACGGCGTTGGGATTCGCTCCAGGTCCGCGTGCCTTTGATTCTCGTTTCTTGGTCCATTGGCGCACGTCTGTGTGCAACAAACTTCAGAGGCACCATTGGGCTCGTCTATGCGGCCACGACAGCACGTGAACTCACCACGGAGGGCGCTAGCCAGCCGTGGTATGCCTTTGCCTAAGAGTCTTGGGCACAACAGCAAGACTACCTTTGCGATGCGTCCTGCAACAACTCTCCCTCGCAATCTCGTTTCGAGCACCTATCACCAGTACGATGGGCGCATGAGGTCTACGCAGCTGGGCTTGCAGTGACCGTCTGTGCCTGATCTGACAGACGATCTCGCTCCGAAAAGTCACTCTCGGCTCTGAGGTCTTCCTGCTCAAGGTCGTCTCCGATGTCGCCTCGCAGGCTGTGAAGGAAGCTGTTGAGGCCGGCTTCCACTTTCGCCATCATGTGCCGTGTCAACCAGATGCCGACAGGATGATGCAAAAGCTGCACCATCACCTCAACAGGTGGTTTCAGGCTGTGCTACTTTGATTTGAGTCTGGCGCGAGACGCGAGCAGCTCTACGACCTGTCCACGCCAGGAATGCTTGCTGACATCAAGAGCCATTCCCTTAAGACACTTGTGTTTCACAGAATCAGGCTACTCTACGAGCATCATCTGCTTCTTGCAAGCACAGCCAGCTTATGCCATGCTGCAGCCTGTAAGGTCGAGAGAGCGTGGATGCCTGATTGAGGAGCATCATTTTGCCCTCAGCATCCCTGCAGCAGCTCCGTGCCCGGCAGGACCCATGCCGACGCAGTCATCGACTGCGTGAGTTCCCGAGTAGTGATAGTCTCGTAGTAGTATGGTCTGACCAGATGGCGAAGACCAGGACTGTACTTTGATGGCACAGGCCTGATTTCTGCCGATGTTTTCAGAGCTCACATTCCGATGTGTTGGCTCTCCGTTTTCCCAGCTTGGCCCAAAGTCTAAGTGCTATCTGACACATGCGGTAATTAATTATGATAATCATGCTGGCGTCAAATCCTGGAAACATGCAAAGATTCAGGGGCTCCGGCGACTGCACAGGCACGAGACCTCCAAGCTGCATGCTCGGCCCAGCCGGGTCAGTCTCACATTCGGCGCCTGTTTAGACGGCAGCCTCAATTTGCTAAACCGGATCCAGGATGTTTGACGAGGCCTTTGCTTGACTCGGTACTTGAACTTCTCGACCGTATCGAGCTGTGCAGTGCCGAGCTTCATCGGCCTTCCTTGTCTGGACACTCCTGGAACGGTGCTGTTTCAAACAGAGCGGGATGATCGTGTTCTACCCAAGCAGAAGTGTTGGCAGCGCGATCCATGTACTTCTGATGATATGCGTCCCCGCCCGATTTTTGTAATCTGCAGGATGAAGCTAGCTCTGCCGGATCCGGATGCAATCTGATGCGTCCCACAGTCCTACAACAGTAGCAGTTCGACAGACGTGCCTGCAAACAGCTCGCCAACGACCCCATGCTCCAGGACTTGTACTGTTTCCGTGTGCAGATCGGCCGCATCAGCTCCAAGATCTCAAGGAGAGACATTCTGCTAAGTCACAGAGACCCGCTTGCTGCAAACAAGGGTCGCAGGTTCGGGCGATCCGAAAAGCCGACTGAGTTCACTAAGTGTATCGCTGTGAACTCCTCGGTTCCGGCTGCACCTTTCACTGCACAGCATGCGTCTGTGGCTCTTCTTCTCTCTGCCTATCTTTCTTTGTCTCGGTCTTCTGTCTGTCCCTTTGCATGTGGGTGGAGTGGGAGGGTGGATGTATTTGTGCTGCTGACGAGGCATTTGGCCAATCAAGTGCTGGGCACGGCTATGCTCCGCAGCAAGTGCCGCAGGCAAGCATGAGACCTTGAATTAGCGGCTGTCATCCTATCAGCAAGAGTAGTCATTGTAATAAATAATGTTAGTCTTCGCCGCAAGTCATCTTGACTCCCTAGTCCCCTAGTGTGTTTGGTATGCATTGTGCCTCAGGCCTGGACAAATATGTTACCCCGACCAAGCGAGCTGCTACTTTCGGGAGTGCTCGAAGAAAGGCCTGGCTTGTTACAGTCTGCACGACTCGTATGAAATGGAGCGGTGCATGGTGGTGTATGGTGGTGTGCCAGGTCGTCAATCACGCCTTGATCCGCCGGCACAAAAGTCAAGACAGATTCCGTGCTTTTCTGCCTCGGCATTGGAGTTTCGTGCGAGCCAATGTGACACGTCCTTTCAGCACTCGGCGATTCCAGTAGATAATCTCTGGAGAAGCGAGCAGGCTCTTGACCTGCTCGTCTCACGCTGGTTTGATTTCCATGTGTGCCAGTGTACTTTCTTGTGCCTGGGATGTTCGCGCGTGTTCTCCCCGGGCTCGGAGTTGCTGTCGAGTCGAAGGCACTGATCGGAGGATCGGAGGTCTACGGAGGTCTAGAGGTCCGACCTGGGGGCCATGACGAAGCTTGACATGAGAAGCAGCAGGAGCTCTACTTTCGGTCAACGAGCAAATCGCTTGAAAGCCTTGCGCGCTCGTCTTCAACACAAGTTCACAACTTTTCCCCGTAAGCCGCAGGAGCACGCGACTTCTTGTTACACTTCTTGTTCTGATTGTTGTCTAGCATGAGCTGCTTCGGAAGACGAGGTCGCGGACAATTAATCTGTCACGTCTGCGGCTGCCCGGCGTCAAGGCCAACGTAAAGGCCAACGGAAATCTGGTGTGTGCAATGTCTGCCGGGCCGGGTTCAAGGCGGATGCATGCTGTACCATAGGCACATTGCTTTCATGTGCATCTCAAAGTGGGAGCTGCTTGGATTACATGAGGAGTCTACGACTAAGAAGGAGCAATCTGTAGGCGACTTTAGCCGCCTAACCCCCCCTGCCAGACTCAGATGCATCTCGCATCTCCTGAAAGATTGTTTATTGCTAGCTAGGTCGGCCTCCTGCGAAAGCCACGTTCTGTAGTCTGCTCTGCGGCTGCATGTTGGCCAAGCCTGAGGACGCGGAAGCAGCCCGATGTGTGCGCATCATCTCCACTTTCTTGTGCAGAGTCGCGACACAGGATTCCCGGGTGGACCGGCACCATGAATTTGTGTCAACCGTGTCACTGGCAGGGAATCGTTTCGATGCGCCCTCGGCCGGTTTAGTGCTTGTCTGGGTAATACTTCTCGGAGAAAGAAGCTGCCATGTGCAGGTTGGACGTCGGGATATAGCATGGTCCAGTGGCTTTTGGTCTTGAGCTTAGACTCCTGGGGCCTTCCATACTCCAATCCCTCGGCACACTCAGGAGGGACAGGTCTTTGGATTCCTTCAACGGAATCCTGCCACCTCCAAAGGAGTGCCTCATTGGCCTATCCATGCTGGTTGAGAGCCACTGTAGATCAGCGGCGATTGGGTTGTCAATGTCACGGCCGGCACTTTCGACACTCCACGGATGCCCAAGCAATCAAAGCTCGCTGCTGATGGTGCTGCCCGAACCTACAAACCATGATAGGGGACACAAGAGCGACCGAGCGTGCACCAACTTGGGGACACCGCTTTCTAATCGCTCTTCTTGTGCGCATGTGGTGCAGAAGAAAAGCATGCTTAAGATACGAGCCTTCACGCTGCCACACAGTCCGCGCATGGACGGCCACGGTGGCCCAGCATCATGAAGGCGCCCCGGCTTGAAAACTTGATTGACATTGAGGAACATGTTGTGCTCGCGAGGTGCTGGTTTCTACGGTCCCGGAGGAGGGCGAAGGCCTTCGCAACTTCTTCGGGACTTGAGTCTCCTTGGAGCCAAAGCGAGCGGCCAGTCGGCGCCAGGCTACGAGAGTCACGCTTGGCGCAAGCAGGCGGCTGGCGGTGTGGTCGCCACATGTGTGAGTTGCGAGCCGAGCCTCCGAGCCTCCGAGCCTTCGTTCAGGTGACGTTGCCCAAAGGATGGCTGTCGTCACCTTGTGAGCGACTGAAAGCTTTCGTGGTGAAAAGCTACAACCAGGCGTCCGTGTATCCGTGAATCGTGTGGTCCACGACTCCGGGGTTGCGGCAGACTGTGGCCCTACGTCAGGCTCATCCCGACCAAGTCGACATTGATGCAGAGGCGCGATGGGGGCGATGGGCGGCGATCGCCCTTGGGGGTGGTTTCCTTTTTGCCTGGAAACCGGAGGCTTGGAAGCTTTGCTGCGAGACCGGCGAGCTGTCCGAAGTCCTCGGGGACGAAGACCTTATCTCCGAGGCGCCGAAAGCCGGAGGGAACTCGCGCGTGAAGGAGATGACAGGGGAGCGTTTTCCGCGATGTCTCCT